CGGAAGCGTCTCTGGACATAATACTTATCCCTTGGAGAAACCCGAAGAAGACTTTTCAGTGGGAGGTGACCCTGACGGTGACGGCTGGCTTTTTAGACCACCTGAGAATGGGCATGTCATTACGAGAGGCGAAGTCGTTTCTCGTATTGTACCGTATTACGAAGTAAGAACTAGAAAAGATAGAAACGATTGCCATAATTTAATATGTTCGTCGTCGGCACCAGAATTTATGTGGCAACCAGTATTGAGAAGAAACTCGATAGTATTTCCCCAACCAATTGTATACTTACTGATCAATTATGTATTTCTTTTTTTTCTCTTTCTCTTTTCGCCCTACATAGATGTTTTTGACAAACGTATTTCTACTGGGTTGGAACGTTCTCAGGGATGCCAGCGAATCAGTAAAGGTTGACTACTCAGTAACACTTTTTCAAGCTTGCTCAGATCGTTACGACATTCCCGGCTTTGATTATTGTGCAGCATCCCGTCTCGTATGGGGACTCGCTGGGGGTGCAGTAATCTACTTTGCCGTCACCTTTCTCATTGCTTTGTTACTTTTGGTTGAATTGCGACGAAAAGGATACCATTCAACGTTTACTGCCATGTGGCATTCTCCAATATTTCTTCTCTGCTTCTTCTTTCCGGTTGAGAAGCGTGTCGACATTTTGAGTATCCCGAACAAATATGTAGAACTGTCATTATGGACACGGGCTCACTTCCATAAGATTGCATTGGCCATCTATTGTGCTGTGTGTTTGGGTTTAGTTATCATGTCTTTGGTCAGAGGGTAAGCAATGCTCAATGGATGAAATTTGTGTGGGGAAAAATAAGAATATTTCAGCGTCTCAAGAACGGAGACAAGAAATGTGGGACAGCTATTAAAAATTGATATACGTATACTGGAAGTTATGCATGAAGCGATGATAAGCGATAGTAAATCTTTGTTCTTAAGCAACATCAAGACTCATTACACGCGATAGTATTCACAAACTAACTACGCTTTCGTGTTTTTTAAAGGACTGCTGAAACGTTTGTCATCCAAGGCCAGCAATTAGACGAAGGCTTACACAAATGTATGCAATTCTTTTTTATCCATCCTGCTTTCTAACTTTCGTGGGCTTAATTTTCCGTGTACTCAAGTGTCTTTTATTACTCGCTAGACTACAATCCATACCTTGTGCCGTATTACGTTGCTATATACACGTTCACAAGGACTCTAGTGACAATGGTATTGGAGATCTTCCAAGACAAGAATAATCGTAATAAGCCGGAGAGAATTGGACGATATTACAAGAATATCAAGATCGACTGAGTGTAATATATATATATGAATTGACACCGTGGCATAGAAGAAGTTGGGATAGACAAAAGAAGGACGTGTAGTTTCATTCATACAACGCTACTGACAGAATAAAATAGAACTAATTTATTTACCCATAATGAGCGAAACCATTTTCGACGTTATGAGTTTGACCATTGAATAGGAAGGAAGCCATGCATTTCGCACTATTTATTTTATTTTTCAAAGCAAAAGTACAAACATGCCGACAGATGAAAGTTATGTTCTAAACTATCCTCAACTATCGTCTCCGTAACAGTTTATATATATATATATGTATCGAGTAACAGTAGTATTTTGTAATATTTTATTTTTACTCTCAACATGAAATTATTTCTCATTTTATCCCTCGCAAAAGTGCACGAATCTTTGTAATTATGCACATTGTCTTTGCCAAGTTTCAAACACTAAAAATAAATACAATTTTGAATTTTAAACAGGTATTTAAATGTCAAACATGTGACTTTTAAATTAATAATGTATAAGTTTGGATGGAATGGTATATATATATCGAGGAGGGGTAAAGTATAACAAAACACCAAAACCAAGCGCAGAGGAGAACCCGACACGTCATAAGTCGGTTGGTAGTTGGAATGTCGTGATTTGCGGTAAGTATGCGCAAGCCGACAAGTCAACTACATACACGTCATCAAAGACGTGATGACCATCGTAACCACCGAAAATGAATAATCGTGAATCATGGAGGACGGCAGTGTGGTAGCCGCGGGAAGTTGGAGGCACACCGTACACTCTCCGACTTTCCCATTCCATTGTTACTGAAAACAGATGGATAAGTAGTGTGAGTACGACGGATCAACGAATGAATACAATCATAATTTATAGCATGTCTACATAACAATTGTAGCAATTGTCACGTACCTAAATTCAATAGTAACACTTCCGACGTGTACCTCGTACCGTCGTGGCCACAGACGATAAAGAGGTACGATCCGACTTGCGTTGATGTGTGCGATAGGCGAGGGTAAGATTTGTTTATTTGTACTTCAATCCAATAGAGCTTGTCTACGAGAGCATGAAGAAAAAAAAAGAGGTTTGGACGATTAGACACCTGAGAGTATCGATTACTGAATTTGTGCTTGCGAATTCCAAGCTCTACCGTTATTTCCCTCTCCCAGTCTTCTAAGAGAACAAAGGCTTACCTAAATCTAAAATATGTACGTCCCGAAAGCAATCGTGCCCATCACTTCCTCCATAGATTATCATCTTACTTCCAACTAAATTACTAGTGTGATATCCCCTCGAGGTAGGTGCCCTTCCCTCTGGTTCTAATCTTTTCCATACAAGATTGCTCATGTCTGAGATATCGAGAGAATATACATCATTAAGGGCCCGCACGCCATCGCCGCCAGCAAATACATAGATGCAGTTGTTGTAATAAACTGTCGTATGTGCCCGTCGGGGGCTTGGTACCTGACCGAAAGTCACCGGTTTTGACCAAGTCATTGTATCTGGTTATTGGCGAGATCGAAAGACAAGAAGATAGAGTTAACTCTTGAAACTAATCGTTTTTGATGTCTGCACCATACACCCTCTCTATTTATTTTTCCTTTTCACACCCTAGAAAAAGAGTTTCATACCCGTGTCAAACACATATAGATCGTTAAAGTATATTGGGCCGTCACCGCCCCCGAATATAAACAGACGCCTATCGACAAGTGTTGAAGAATGAGCACGGCAAGATGGCGGCGGATCACCATATACTTTTGGCCTACTCCAATACATTGTGTCTAAATAATAAAAGACGAAAAAGAGGTAAGCATATGGTTTGCACAGCTTGTTTGTCCTTCCGTCATTGAGCAGATTCGAAGCATTCATTGTAGCCATTATATTGTAGGATTAAAGACTATATAATATCACCCGCTCTCCCTTTTTTAAGAATATCATCATCATTTTTCATTTTACATCTTTCTCTCTTAACACATCACTCATATACAATTCAGTGGCTTACCTGCATCAAATACATAGACTGTATTGAAACAAGTTCTCGCATCACAGCCACCAAACACGAACATCAATTCACCAACCAAGTTGACTGTATGCGCTCTCAACGGCCGTACTCCTGGTTTTCCATGTGTCTGTATCCTCGACCAATACATTGCCGGAGCAGGAGCAGGCGCAACCGACGGGGAAAGGATTGGTAAATTATCTTTACGACGATGGGGATGGGGATGGCGATGGGAATGGTGTACATTGTCATGGTCTTTATTAGTGCTGTTGTTTGTGGCATATCTATCACCAGGATATATCGAATTAATTATTAAGTAACCATTATTCATAGCGTTTTGTGGTGGAAGAGTAGACCGTATACTTCGGTCAGCATTATTAAATGTGGTAGGCGAGTTTATTGAAATTCCATATCCATTCCCTTGTGTTCCGTTTAAACTTAGACCGCTTCTTACTGATCGTGGTGCGTCACAACTGCTGGGTGACCCAGCACTGTTTTGGCTTGCTGTTTCAGACGAGGTTTGTATGGAAGCAGGATTTGAGATTGCGTCTTCGAAACTGTTTTCACCGAGAGTAGGAGATTCCGGGCAGGCGGGGGAGTTGATTGTGTCATCATCGGAGGGAAAGAGTTCTGCCATGAGAAATTAGAGGTATAGAAGGTAGGTCGGTGTGGGTGAAGTTACGTTGTAAAGTATGGTCTGGTAGAGCATTAATGAGTTGGTGAAAGAGCGAGTGAGTTGGGGATGACAAGTTGAGAGAATGTGTGGCCAGAAAGTACAGTGAGAAATTGCGAATGTATGTTTGCTGTCGAACACGTGATCTTGGTTGGGAGAATGCTTGTGTAGTGTTGACAGAAGTTCGATTGGACACGAGGAAAGTTTGCGTCACAATGTCATTGCAGGGGATCAGTTGTCAGGGATGATAATAAATGGGACATGTAACAAACATATCAAATTCGTGCGACTTGTTAAAGTAAATCACGTTATCAGTGGTTACATATAGGGAGCACAATATTACTAATAAATGGTGAAGATAGGAACCACAGATATTTTCGTAACCAATACAAAATTCAAGATCAACAAAATCAAAAGCTGAAGACAGCAAAGTCGATTGTAAAATGTGTCTATAAACATTCTGATCGGGGAAACGAGAAACGAGAAAGCAAATGATTCGATGGATATTTAGTTAATAGTCAGGAAAACCAAGATACTGTTATACGTAGTTGATTACAACCGACCCCCTAAAACTAATAATACTAAAGACTTTTTCAGCAAAACGTGCTTTTTAAAATAAAAACAAGTTAAATTCTTTTTACATTTGATTTCACAGTGTTTGTGTCATACAAACTATGCCAACGCTATATGTTTAGCCGGTAAACAACCGTCATGAATAAGTAATGTAATTTTATAAGGAATGATTGCTGTAAAATATTTGGATTTGACTTTGGGGTTTTTTGATCCATTGTAATTGTATAAACTGGTAATCGAACCGTACACGTGTAAAAGATTTGACGCGACGATTTAACCAAATACGACAATAAAGCTCCACCTTAAAATCTCGGGCATTTGCGTCTCATATAGTTACTCCGATGATGTTTTATTGCTATGCTTGATTTAAAAAAACAGCCTTGAAAAAACCCCCATTAACAATTGCAAATATGCCAGATCATGTTAATTTGGTCTTTTGCCTTTGTATCTTGTCGTGTATATGTGTAGCGTTCTATTACGCAGAAAATCCGGGCCATGACGTAATCTATCCTATTCCGTGGCTCTGACCCCCAAATTTGATACCCTAAAATTCTAACTTTTGTGACATATTGTACGCAGCAATTAATATAAAGTTTTGTTTGCGAGGAAAAAACATTGAATTATAATTATAAATTGCAAAATTTTTTTGTGTATTCTCGACAAAGCGAAAGTGGAAAATAACAAGCCGACCAACCAACAATGGAAGACACACCGCTGAATGCAGTAAGTTATCAGATCGAATCAATCTACCTTTAAAATATGCGTGCCTTTTGCACAAATATGTATTCGGATTTCCTTCTCAACTTGCTTCATTATACAGGCACATAGATATGCAACCGACGCGGAAGAGGCAGAGGAGAGGGAACAGTGGCAAAATGCTATGGAGGCACATTATCGTGCTGCTGGTATGTACGTTGTCTTTGAAGATGTCTTCTAACTATAATACTGCGTCTATTGGAATTTATTCACACGCACTTGTAATTCTTCTTTTACACAGAAAAATTCTTAGAAGCCATAGACTGTACATCTGATCAAGAGGTAACAACATTTATCTACGACTGTTAATATACAAATAAATCACTTGGTCTTGATGTCTTGTTTTATTATGCCGTGCATTTTCCCCTGTCAACATTATTGATCGAGTTTCTTCTTTTCACTTTTAAAGGCAGTGAAAACACTGAAACTTTTATACGTTAATCATACAAGGCAGGGGAGAGACTTGGGGCGGCGCCTGCAATCTTATGCCTCCTCTTCCCGTTCATATACCGACTTTCCTACATCGTCAAACACGTCCTCCTCAAACACATCCTCACGCACCGCTCCAAACTTTCGTTCGTCTACAAATTCCTCAATAACAAAGCGTGGCTATCTGTCTCCAAACCCTCCCCGCTCTGGCACTGGTCAATCTACTTCCAAGCATACTAGCGGCACCTTTCCTGGTCGTGATAATCACAATTCTTCAGATAATAACCATCGCGTCCCTTTCAATCAATCAGATTCCTCACTACCTCGACAACCGCTGACGTCTCTGGAGAGCAGTACCACCTCCGACAAGATTGATGAGAGTTACATGGTTCTGCGTCCTGCTAATGATAATACAGATGAGGATGATGCAGATCCGTTCAATAAATTTTGGGAGATTGTAGAAACGCTAGTGCAAAAAGTGTCAAACCCTGTTGCCTTTGCTACAGCGCCATTGACGAGTAGCGAGAGTGTTGAGGAAAGAAGTGGTCTCTATGGAAAAATTGGTCTGGATGCTGATGGAGCAATGGGAAGGAACGGTGATGGCAGGAGAGCTGGCAAGGGTAGAGTTGATAAGAGGAATGATAATAGGATCAACAATGGTAAGTAATGGTGACAGCCATTGTTGTTGTGTTTGAAGAATTTGTATCCATTTTTACTTATTAAATTGTAGACGATAGTCAAGCAGATGAGCTTACATCGCAAATGTTGGAGTCATTTTACATAATACCCGAACAGAAGTCAGGACGTTATAATAGTCAGCAGTCGACTTTGTCGAATACAAGGTTTGCTTATTCCGGTAGTAGTAATGATAAAAGCTAGCTATAAATAATACAATTTGCATATAAAAAGAAATAATTGTAACAGATATTCATGTCAACATTAGGTATTGACTACATAAACGAATGTATTTAGTAAAATAGGTTATGCAAAGACAATTGAAGAATATGCAATCGAAAATAAGCAATTGAAAACTATAGTTGATAACATGTCAAAAAGAATGAGTGCTTACGAAAAGGTATGCGGAATTTTATCATAAAAGCGAACGTTACATTATAACGACTTATCTTTCATATACGTATCTGTTATCTCCAGGCGGCACAAGAGAATAATATGTTGAAATCAAGCATTCTTCAGTTCAAGAATGATATGCAAAAGCAGGTTTACAAATATATATTTATTTATCATTTCCAATTTCGCGCGTTAGGATTGTCAGTCATTTCTTTGCTAATGATGATGCTTTACCATCTCAGGCCAAGCGCATCAAGGCGTCTCAAGAAATACTGCGGGGTTCGGCTTCAGGCGCATCAAAAACGTCTCCGAAAACATCTCCAAAAACGTCTCCCGAAAACTCAACTGGTAAGTTACAAAGAGAACAGACTGATACGATAACTATTTTGATAATGATTATTACGATAACGTGAGCGGGGCGGATTCCTTTTATCCTGGGCGTGATTGTTGCAATGACGTACACTATAGTGATCATAATCGTTATATCATGGATGTTGTTATCCCACCATCTTCGTCATCCCTAATTGAGAGAATTCCAGCCCTCAATAAGTCAAAACTGCTGTACCATCTTTTTGTTATCAGCCTCCGTAAATGGGCTTGATTTGCAGATGGAGAAGTTACTATTAGTGCCTATGGAAATTTATTGTTAGCAGATTGCGGAATATGTGTTGACGATATGTTATTGTGAGAGCGCATTAGTTACATCTGGGATTTGATCGTAGAAGAGACATATATATGTGGTGTGTCGATAAGCAAGTTGGAATCGAGTAATAGAATATGTGGCATGAATTTTTCCACGGGAGCGGTTTAGTTTGTGTCAACAACCATTTCTTTAAATTTGCATTATTGTAGACTTCCTTAGATCACTTGTAAATACCTCGAGACCGCCTTTGACCGTTATAATCTAATCAACAAACGATTATTAAAATCCCTACCATTTTCGTTTATTGAAATTGTTTGTAGTTTCAACGACGGCGTTTCTACAAAGACGAATAAAAGAACTTGAGGATGAGTTACGATCCGTCAAAGCTGAAAGCGAACGGCAGGTATGAAACGTGAAGATTCATCTATTGTACTGTACCTACAACACCTCATCGCTTTGATATCAATTCCTTATTCACTTGTCGATCTCGAACTGCTATTTGTAAAATATCCAGGCAGAAAAAATGGCAAAATATCGTGCACGATGGGAGACTCTTGTCGGTGATGCTCGGAAACGACGTACTACCAAAAATCCAGAGCGACGGTCATCATCGAGACAATCGTCTGGAAAATCGTCCGAACAACCGTCTGGAAAATCGTCCGAACAACCGTCTGGACAACCATCTGAACAACCGTCTATGCAATCTTCTGGACAATCATCTAATACAAGTGGACACAGACAAGATGAATCAGAATCCAGCATCAAACCCACCGGTGCGAGCACGGATAACAAGATAAATGGTGTTGAAATGAGGGTTAGTGAGATATGTTAGGATTCGAAGTAGAATTGGAAATGAAATTGATCGAGTATAGGCATGTAATAATTAAATGTAAAGATTTAGGTATTATTAAAATATTGAAAGAGGATGTAAATGATGTAAATGATAGCGAGTGGTCATTTAGCCTCATTTTCGTTCATATGTTTATCTGTTTTCGCTTGTATCGTCAGCATCCTTCAGTGGGATGACATTTGGGTTGGTAGCACGCACATGACATCATCGAAGCATGCATAGATGATATTCATTCCTAGATGAAAGACAATAAAATAGAACAAAGATCATGTTATTTAAAACAAAAGTGAACATTATAATTATGTAGATCACGTTCTATGAATATGTTGTAGATAAGAATGTGAATAAATGTGACTAAGTTTCTTGTTAAGCATCTCCCTCCCCTACATGATTATTTATGTTGTAATTGTTCGTTGAGTTGACGCAAATATCTCTGCTCATCATTCCTTATTATGTAAATTTAATATAACCAATGATAGCTTTGCCTATGGATTATCCAATTAGAATTACGTTATTGTTAAGAATATCACTGTTGCCAAAGCATCGATCGACTTCAAGGTTTCAACGACACTTGATATCTTGCTAGATAAACTGGGCATTTGTCATAAAACAATAAGCAAAGGAAAAAAAAAAGACAACCCAATAATATACAAATAAAAATAAGGAGAATTTGTTAGGCAAACCTGAAGAACATGAAACCGATTAGCCATTTACTGCAATCAGAATGTAATAACTGCAAGAACTCATTATCCGCAGCTACACATTTGTGGATGGCTTGTGAATAATAATAATATACATGGTCCGAGTATACATATTATCCACATGCCAGCGTTAGTAAATAACTGGCGAATACCAGTTATTGTGCGCCATCTGTATGTCGATGTATGGCTATGCTATGCCGCTATCCTGTAGTAATTGCTTCTTTGTGTTCGTTGTGTTATGCTGTTTGACCTTTTTTTTTTCCTCTGGCTGCTTTCAGTAACCGATAACACTCTTATCAATGATTAATAATAACGGTATTATTCTTTGGTGATACAAAAACTTTCCATCAGTCCTTTTTGCATTTATGCATCAATAATTATATAAGTTTCAAGTGGACTAAACGGTAATATTCGGCACTTTTTTTGTGTAAAAACGTGTTATGGAATAAACTATCGGTAGCTTATATATATTAACAATGTATTTTAAACGCGAACGTATATTCGGTAACCAGTGTAGACGCCCTAAACATAATATGTTTCGGGCTATACCGTATTAATTAATTTTTTGTCCTTCCATAGAAAAGTTCACAGATAACATGCGCCATAGCTGTAACCAATAGCCGCTGTCTACGAAAGCCTTTAACAATACGCTGATACAATTAAGGTTTAAAAATAAGAAGCGAGCATATTAACTACTAACTTGAATAAACATAACGTTTATATAGTGGGACAGTTAACAACGCGTGGTAATAATTGCAAATTATTTTTATTTTACTCGCATATCAACGGTAACGATAAAACACGGCACGAGCTAGTAGCAAGAAAAAAGTGCTTGGTCATATGATAAAAACTATTACAAGTTTTAATACTTATATATTAATAGCATATATTACTGACCTGTTACAAGGTTTTCCGATAGTCGTGTTCATATTACAAAAATAATCATACAATCATGTGTTTACAATGGTTAACCTAATAAACCTTTTAGCGTCGATAGAAATACTAAACCTGGAAACATGCATGTCTTGTGAGTTCCCCCCCAAAAAAAGAGTCAGCTGATAGTGATTTTCTGACTATGGGCGTATGCAATAGAACGGAAATTCGATCAGTACCACTAGAAACATTGTACAAATTGTCGGTCATGGCTCAATGTATCGTCGACATAACCCGATGTTGTGTATTTTAAACGGGAGGTGAGGGAAATGGAACAAAAAACCCCCCTTTCATAATATTTTCAATATTGCTTGGTAGCATAAAATTAATGTTATAATTAGTAAATATTGTATAGCCATAAGAATTAAGATTACGGATACTTGCTAGTAAAAATGAGCAAAGAATACTTACAACCGATTGATTGTTCTGTTGAATTAATAATTAATTAATAATTAATTAGTAATTATATTGTGGATTTCTCTGATTCTTATACATGTCCTACCACGCGTCGCGTAACTTTAATAGAATTGCGCTTATAGCCGTCTTTGCTTTTTCCCCTAAATACCCCAGATAACAAGTATATTTTATACTTGTAGTTTTGAATCGTGACAATTGTACTTAATATACTTGTATGACTTATTTGTTTAACTCTCTGCAGAAGAACGGGCATTGCATGTGACCAATTACTACGGCTGTCGGGTCAAAATACAAGTTGTATACATTTACGACTAGGTCAACAGGCGGCGTTAATGTTATACAAAAAAAAGCCCAAAATACAGTTTTAGATTATAAGACAAGTCTTAAACTGCTGTAGAATTAATTAATAAATAAAACTTAATTACATGCTTTGCAGAGTTGGACATGATATGATTAGATATTATAAATATATCGCAACTAGAGTTTAAGAAAAAAAAACGTGTGCCTTTTTTTTTTTTTGCGATGGCAGCGAATATGCAATTATATAGGTTATCGACAACAATATCTATTTTTGCTATATTGTTATTATGGCCATTTCTTACTTTCTTTCGTCATATAGGCTATTACGATCGTATGCAAGTATCGACATTTGTTTTGTGTTCGCTCGATTAAAGTTATCATGGGGGAGACAAACTTATTGTTACCGTCGTGCTTGTTGTTCAGCCTATAGCTAGGATAATTCGATTATTACACAAAAAACTTGTCAACCGTCTCACTCTGTTAGTATTGTCTGGCTTAAATTACTCATGCGGTGTCGTTCTATCTTTCTCTAGTGTTCTATGCGCATCGGCCATCTAATTTGTCGGCAGATGCATTTATATAATTGATTAATTTCATTGCATTACGGACTATACGTCATAAATAAGTCTTGTTACACGAGAAATACAAATTATGTTGTTGTCATACTATCGCTATGTCGTTCGTATTGTTACTTTTATCTCAAGGGGATAAATATGGGTTTTATGTAAGCATATGCTTCGCTGTTTCTCACTAACCGATCTTGTTTGTTGCATATAGACTCTGTGTATAAGTCCAGTTCAAGGTTCTTTGTTAGCGCTGAATCATGTCGATTTGTTTGTTTACTCCGAATTACGTAACACAAGAAGCTGATTGTTAGCTAATGTTGTATCACACGAAGAGTCTGCTTTTGATATAGGTTTGTTTTAGTATCAAGTATTAGTATGCGAGCAGGCCCGTCAGCTAACTAGAGGCGTTTGCTAGCAAGAAGAAGCGACGTGCATGTTTGGGTTTTAGGTTCAACGTCTGAATCGTATGTACATATGTAAACAGAAAATTCCATATTTGTGCTCGAATCCAAAACAGCGTTTTTTCGGACAATTGTGTACCCACGTTATATTAAAAAAATTTTTTGAATACAAATATTTCAAATGATGTCAGTAGCACGATGAGGACACAAAGGGGGAGAAGTATCATATCTGTGCAACACTTATGAATTGAATTCTATCAGATATGAGCGTACCGGACAGTGAATATAAAATGTATATGTCGATCAACCAATAAGAGAACGATGCATAATCGAAATACAGATGCATGCTAACAGTGATCAACTTTGAGTCACAACATGGTCTTGAATATATTGTCTGCTATGATACCATGATGCTGCTATAATTTACGCTGCAATTTGTGCCGCGTAGCAGTAGTTCGTCTCTCTCAATTTGGATTACAGGGATGGTTTCATGATGATCATTAGTAGAGAGAATCTTTTCTGGAATAAATAAAACCCAGGGATGAAATTGTGACACGCGCCTATCCCGTGAAACGTAAACGCAAATACTGATTTGTGGATAAAGAGTCGATGATGCTTAGATAAATGAAGTAAAAATCCCCATTGTTTGTATACGATATTAGTCTAGTAGATGCTGTTGACGTGAGCAGCGAGTTAATTTTTATTTGTTCGGGCCAATTTCGCATTTTTCATCTTTTCATTCAATCGCTCTTTTGTTTGTTTATAATTTACCTTTTTTCTTTTTTCTCTTTTGGTTTGTTTCCATGTTTGATACGGTTACGTTACATGATGGTAATCACTAATCACTCCTGTTCCGATCAAAAAGTTTATCCTATGACGAATTAAAGTAGCGTGTCTTTGTGTGTTCAGCCAACCAACCACTGCATACGTACACACAAACAACGTTCGTTCGCCCATCAATCTCATATATATCCTTTTCTCCTTCCCACATCTACTAATTGTCATGTGTTCTCATGACTACATCAACTCCCACACTATGCTGACATAACAAACATATTATTCGTATATAGTAGTCTGCTACCCCCCAGTCATCTCTTTCTCTGTTGTACGCCCACAGATAAACCAAGTTGGTTGTGATCTTGGATGGATAAATAAATTAGCAGTAATCTTAGATTTGAACTAATGTATGTAGTTTTTATACTGTTCCACTTATTAATTGGTTAAATTCAATGTAGTTTAATACTTTACAGTAGTATTCGAATATTTACCAGCCATTTAATTAAGCCTTATTAATTCCTCATTATTAAGTTCGATTTACTATTACGATAATAATAATAATAATAATAATAATAATAATAATAAACAAACAGCTATTTGATGAGCTACTTCAATATATATATATATATACTTTATGGTAACTCGTTCTTTTATTCTTTTATTCCTTTTTCATCCTTTCCGTTTCATTGTCCAATCAGCTGAACATACGACTGCGTTTGCTAACAAAGCGAGCGCGGAATATACTACTGATATAGACTAATCAAACCTGAGCTTTAATAAAATCTGGATTATATAAATACGTAATCATAATTCAGAGTTGCGCATCAAAGAACTGAATGTCTTCTCCAATTACTGCATGCTTATTGACCGACTGTACAGCGCGTTTTCAAAGTACACTACTCTTTTGTCGGAATAACCAAACGCAGGGATATAATTTCTCACGTGATTGATGGTAAATTATCACGTGAATAGTAATAGTGTGGCGAACTTTTTTGTATAGCAGTAAAGTAATAGTAATAGTAATAGATAATATTAGTAGCAGTCGTAGTAGCAATAGTAGCAATCGTAGTAGTGGTGGTCGTAATTGTAGCAGTCGTAGCAGTAATTGTAGTAGTAAGAGTAAGTAGTAGTAGTTGTTGTAATATTAGTAGTACTAGTAGCAGTCGTAGTAGTAGTAGCAGTCGTAGTAGCAAGTAGTAGTAGTTGTTGTAATTGTAGTAGTTGTTGTAATTGTAGTAGTGTTGTAGTAGTAGTTGTAATTGTAGTAGTGTTGTAGTAGTGGTTGTAATTGTAGTAGCAAGTAGTAGTAGTTGTAGTGTTGTTGTTGTTGTAGTTGGTCTGACTATAATAGTTTTAACCACGTTGATAAACGCGAAACCTGAATGTATTTGCTATACATATTAGTGCTTACTGTTTTTCTCAAGTCCCCGTTAGCGGCAAGTCTAACAACAAAGAGAATGACAAATATTAATTAATATTTTCTATTTGTTACCATGTTACTTTATTTAGTGTTATAGAACATTCAAATTATATTATGACAATAGTTTCGGCGCATGCTAGGTTATATATTTTATTTATGTCCTCCTTAATAATTTTAACACTATCAGCCGCCTCTTAAGCGGAAGGTCACACAAAGGGGTCAGGATCAATCAAGTCCTTCAAAAAGCTATACACTATTTTCTAAGCATTGTCTTAACAGATCTCAACTATTTACTGTAAAATATTTTAGTTTTTTATTAAAATTTTGTTTGATTCATATGAAAATTTTACCCCATCTATATATATACTCTATTACAATCCATCTCTTCTGCAGCCCAAAATATTAAATGGAAGCGCCAGATTACGACTACCAACAGATACCTTCTTCATTATCTCCTCTGGCTCCTGCTATGTCTTCCGCAACTAATACTCATCTCCCTTCAAACAATGTAAACATATCCCCAGCCCAACCATCACAACAACCTCCAAACTCATTAGACAACCTACAAAACACCTCTCTATTAATGGTAGACTCCCAATCTCAAGTTCTCGTCATGGGCCCCACTTCTACTACTCTTCCGCATCCTTCTCAAGTTTCAACACAACCTACCGTTCAAATGTCATCAATACCAAACGAAGTATCAAACAACGCATCTGACTTGGCTATATCAATGCCTGTATTGGTCGTCAATTCGGCTCAACAAAATCAACAACCTATCTTACCCGCCGATCCACAGCAACCTATGGTTATTCTTATAGACGGAGCTTCTCAGAATGCACAGCAATCGCCACAAACCGTGCAAGTTCCAACTAATGAACAAGTAGCTTTGATAGTAGACCCTTTTAGTCTTACTGAACCCAATGGACATATGGACATAAACATGGCTATGGCAAACAACAACCAATTAACTGACATGTCTCATCAAAGTATACATAACGCTGCCGCTGCAAATCAACCTCAATCGTCTCCTATACAAAACGAATCACATGTTATCATGCAGGTGACGGATGCACTAGTGAGAGCAAACGATCAACTTGAAGTAGCCAAGTACAAAGTTGCCCGAGCTGAACTAGTTCAACAGGCTCAATCCCAGTTGCAAGCTCATCCTGTCGAAATTGTACAGGCACATAATCAAGTAATACAGGCGAAAGCAGAATTCGTGCAGGCCCGGAATCAAGTAATACAGGCACAAGTAGAATTCTCCCAGGTAGCTGAACAAGTGGCCGAAGCCCAAGTGCAGGCCCAAGTGCAAGCCCAAGTGCAGGCCCAAGTGCAGGCCCAAGTGCAGGCTCAAGTACAGGCCGTGCAGGCCCAAGTGCAAGCCCAAGTGCAGGCCCAAGTGCAAGCGCAAGCTCAAGCTCAAGCTCAAGCTCAAGCACAGGCCCAGGCCCAACATGCACAGGCTCAAGCGCAGGCAGCACAGGCACAGGCTCAAATCTCTCAACCACAACATCAAACGCAGCCATTAGGTCCTGACGAGGTCCGCGAAATTCAACCCCCATCTGACCTTCCTCCTACATCTACATCTTTTACTACTTCTGCTGGGACATCTCCCAATGCGCCACCTCCGCCAGCACCCCAACCTGTAGTTCCCTCATCTCAGCAAATTGTCGACTCTTTACCATTTACCGAATCTTCTCAAATAAACCAAATTACCTCAATGGCCGACTTGCAACCCGTGAATGCCCCTCTAACTATTCAACCGGAAACGCTAATGCCCCACCAACGGCTCGGAGATCTGATTCAGAACCATCATCTTATTCAGGCACCTAACCCACAAAACAACAACGGAATTGCACCAAATAACGCCGTCATAATACCTAATCCGAACGAGATGTTGGGTCAATCCATGATCACCGCATCAGCTCCCATGGTATCAGATCCTAGAGGACCGCAGCAACGGCAGGGAATTGAACATATGATGACTATACCTGGTATGGATAATATGATCAGTGTTCAACATATGCAATTGAGCGACCCCACCCATACAGGGTTGCCCACCCTGCATTTCTCGTCGTCGGCTGGTTTGACAGCTGGTAATATGTTTTTGGTAAATCTAGATGAATCGAATCGGCGACCTTCTGTGAGTGCACAACAGGGACAAGGACAGGTATGTCATTATTAAACTTTCGGAACATTGGCGGAAAAAATAAAACTGATAGGGGAATTGGAGATCATGTTTGTTGGAACGAAGGTAGTATGGTTGCATTAAGAAACCGCTTACATCGGTGCTATTATTGGAATTTACATACTAACAAGTTTTACCTGTAACATATAACCTTGGGCCACAACCTTATTCAAATCAACACTAAAATCAAAATTACGCCATTGCCAACGTCTTTGTTCTAAAGCCTGCAACGACGATAAGCATGTCGACTTCGGCATCACCGGCAACGAAGGGTACAAACTTGATAATCAATGTTGGTAATGTTGGTAATGTTGTAATTGAATCTTCTCCACATCAACAAGGTCTAAGCTTCCTTAACGAACAACCTGGTATGTTAACTGCTGAGGAAAGTAAGCAACAGCAACAGCAACAGCAGCAACAGCAGCAACAGCAGCAACAGCAGCAGCAACAGCAACAACAGCAGCAGCAACAGCAGCAACAACGGCAGCAACAACAGCAGCTTGTCGTTGACCAAGATTTTAAAGACTTGCTATGTAATAACGCGTTGCAAAAGCTTGCATGTAATGATATAAAAAACGTAAAAATAGAGCCAAGGTCATCGCCCGAGCCAATGGAGACTGAGCCGAATCCTGTCTCCTCACAACCATCAGAGAAACATCTCATCGATCAGCAGCAGACACAGCAGCAAGATCAACAAAAGCAACAGGAGCAGCAGCAACAACAAGATCAACAAAAACAGCAACAAGATCAACAAGATCAACAACACCGACACCAACACCAACAAAATTATCATCATCATCATCAACAACAACAACAACAACAACAACAACAACAACAACAACAACAAGAATGCCAACAAGAACAGCAGCAGAAACGCCAGCAACAGGAACACCAGCAACAAGAACACCATCAAAAAGAACACCATCAAGAACAGCAACAGAAGCATCAGCAACAGGAGCAGCAACAACAGGAGCAGCAAAAGCAGAAGCAGCAACGGGAGGAAGAAGAGCAACGGAAACAAAAGCAGCAACAACAGCAGCAACAGCTGAAGCAACAGCAATCTTCGCCTAATCAAGAACACAAGTCTCCTCGATTGCAAGAGAACAAGTCCCCCCAACAATCCACCTCTGATGTACCTTCAACCGCTGTTAGGAAAGACTCCACAACCTCGAATAATAGGGATTCGTCCAATTCTGCAGATTCTCATACAGGAAACAATCACTCGGCAACTGGGAGGTTAGAGAATTTATCTAGAGACGAGATTCTCTTTAGGATTGGGAAATATGAGCATGATGATCTCACAAACGATCAGCTACTTGTGAAATTACGTGGATTAATGCGAAACAGTAGAGACGCTAGTGGAAAGAGCATGAACGAGAGGAAAATGTCGAGATCGACTTCTTCAAGACGGTCGTCCGATTCCGATGGTAGGTATAGTGTAAGAGAGAACGAACTAAACGTTTTTGAGTAAACTCGGATTGTGTTGATATGCATGCGCGTCGTACAAATAATATGCGTGTAGATCAAAAGATGCGAATAGAGAGAGACGCAACGATTATTTTATATGAAAAGTCTTTTCGTCTAGAACGCAGTTAGTATGGATATACTGCCATACTGCCATACTACTATAGCAATATTCGCTCCAACTTTCGAATTTGCTCTATTAGCTGAATTGTCTACCACTTAAATCCGTACACTCAATACTTTTACTTTTCTATTCATTCCAAAGCCACGCGAACAGACGACTTGTACCCACTGACTCCCGTTGATCCAATGGAAGACGTCCAACCGGTCTCTTCCAATATAACGCGTGGTGGCCAAACTATGGCTGACGCGACTTCAGGAACTTCCACCATAGGCTCGAAACAAGAAGACGACAACGGAAAGGACTCTCACAAGTGTCGTTGGAGAAACTGCACGATGGCATTCCCAACGTTAGAGTCCTTAATAGAGCATGTTGGGGAAGCGCATATTGGAAGTGGAAAGGTGAGTTGTTTGGTTTCACCCCAAATTCTTGGGAAGCTGTGTTGAATATAATAAGTCAGGTGGTATTCGTGAATTACGAGATTACACAATCTTCGAACGACATTACCAGAGTCAAAGTTAGCCAGAAATAACCCGATTTTGATTTTGTACTTAATTTGCTTATTGCTTCGTTAATTAAAAAGTAAACTTTTGCGCACTGCTTAATGGCTAACTTAGAACGTCACTTTTCCATCCAAACCATAACTAATTCATGACCTTGCGCAATTATTGTTGCTTTTTCTACGTGTATAATTATTGGTATTCAGGCAACTTACTCATGCAATTGGGATGGATGTACGCGAGGACCAAAACCTTTTACGAAACGTCACAAGATGTACAACCATCTCAGGACCCATACAGGTGAAAGGCCGTTCGTATGTGACAAACCAGGTTGCGGAAAACGATTCTCGCGTCCGGATTCGCTTACTACTCATGCGAAAACACATTCGAATGTACGACCTTTTGTCTGTAATCATAAAGGTTGTGGGAAGGCGTATTATCACTCACGGTCACTGAGAAAGCACGAGAAAACGCATGATCAAAGGTCACGAGCACAACAAATCCCGACGGTCAATCATGCTGCGCCAATTTCCAGCCTACATATTAATTTTGCTCCACAGTCAAGAATGTTCTCATCGTCACATGGAGGTACCGGTGCACAACCATCTTCGATGTATGCTCAGAGACCACCTACATTTGATCCGGCCTCGGGTGGAATGACGAATGGGCCAAGGGATATTCGTCCTTCCGGACTACCTGCTTCAGCGCACCATTTACCACCTTTACAATTACCGTCGACCGTGCCAACTACAACGGGAGGTAATGGACCATTCGGTTATGGAAATTCGCAGCCGCAAAAGTACGTACCACAGATTCCGTCGCCGACGAATCATGCAAGATCCGCGAATTTCCCGTTCCACCAGCAACAGTTGCAAACCCCGGAAATGGTCCAACAACAGCAACAACAGCAGCAGCATCAACTGCATCAACATCATCAACAGCAGCAGCAGCAGCAACAGCAGCAGCAACAGCAACAGCAGCAGCAGCAGCAGCAGCAGCAGCAGCAGCAGCAGCAACATCAGCATCAACATCAACATCAACATCAACATCAACATCAACAACCACAACAACCACAACCACAACCACCACAACCACAACCACCACCACCACAACAACAACATCAAACACCACCACCGCCGGGGCCACAGCATCAGCAACTGCAACAGCCGCAGCTACAACCACAACCACAACCGCAACCACAACTACCATCACA